ATAAAGCTGTCAGGGGGCCACTTCCTTGTTTCTTTGCTTTCTCATCATCCTTCATTAGTCACCCACACAGCTGGGGAAGAAGGGGTTTGTTCAATGCATCATTCATAGCACACTCTAAGTTTGAAGTAAAAAACTTTCAGCTGTATCTTCATGTGATAAGATCCTTTTCTGTATGTCACTGATTTGTCACTCTAGCTTCAGGATCACTTATTTTGTACAGCCACTTTATCCTTCTGTGGCCTATAATATATGCTGAACTCCTAGTCAGCTAGGGCTGCTACCCATCTCTGTCATGAGAATCCAACTTGAATCCAATCACACTTGAACTCCATAAACATCATCTTGGAACTTCTCAGTAACCACCCACTGTAAATATAAGAAATTCCAATTTGTAGATGAGATAATGAGTCCCATTTCCAATATGTCCTCCACCAGATAATTCAACAGGTTTCTAGTGAACATCGCTCACTTGGTACAAGACTTCTCCTAACCTTGCAGGCTACCATTAGTGAGTAAAACAAAGGGTTTGCCAGGATTTTCATAAGGCAGCACTGGTAGATGCATAAAACAATTAACCAAGTTCCTGAAAATGTATTCACACTATATGTTCCAAAGATCTTCAAATGAGGTCAAGCCAAATTGACATTTCTAAGTGGCATAGTGGATGGGGTGCTAGGCCTAGAGTCAGGAAGACCTGAGTTCAGATCTAACTTTAGATACTTAGCTATATGACCCTGGTCAAATCATTTAATCTCTGTTTGCCTTAGTTTCCTCATCTATAAAATGGGGACAAGGTAGCTAGGTAGCACAGTGGATACAGCATTAGCCCCAGAGTTAGGAAGACCTAAGTTTAAATCCAGCCTTAGACACATCCTAGCTATGTGAACCCCGGGCAAATCACTTAACCCTGTTGCCTCAGTTTCCTCCTCTATAAAATGAGCTGGAGAAGGAAATGGCAAACCACTCCAGTCTCTTTGCTAAGAAAGCCCTAAATGGAGTCATAGAGAGTAGGACACAACTGAAACAACTCACAACAACAACAACAACAACAATGGGGACAATAGCACACACCTCACAGGGTTGTTGTAAGGATCAAATAAGACAATATTTGTAAAGAGCTCAGTGCAGTACCTGGTATATAGTAGATGCTATATAAAAGTTAATTATAATTTCTTGTCCATTTCCTTCTGGTTCTTCTCAATGTCATGACCATGAGCAAGATCACTGAAATGCTTAATGTCATACACAATACTTCAGCTCTTGTCTCCATACCCATGCACTGACCATTCCCATTAGAATGTAAGCTACGAGCAGCTAGGTGGTGCAGTGGATAGAGCACTGGCGCTGGACTCAGGAAGATCTGAGTTCAAATGTGACCTCAGATATGAAACACTCACTAGCTGTGTGACTCTGGGCAAGTCACTTAATCCCATTGCCTAGCAAAAAAAAAGAAAAAAGAAAAAAAAAAAGAATGTAAGCTACCAAGCTACCTGCGAGTAGGAATTACTTCATTATTTATATTTGTGCCCTCAGTGACTGATGGTATCACCTCCCTGATGTCATGGTCCTCTTTGAGAACAAAGGACAAGTAACAGCCTCTGTGAGTAGCAGTAGGAGCTGATCCACTGGGGACCCAACTGGAACTGGCCAGTTGGGCAACACAGTGCTTGCTTGCTTTCCTTCCTTCCTTTCTTTCCTTCCTTCCTGTCTTTCTTCCTTCCTTCTTTCCTTCCTTTCCTTCCTTCCTTCCTTCCTTCCTTCCTTCCTTCCTTCCTTCCTTCCTTCCTTCCTTCCTTCCTTCCTTCCTTCCTTCTTTCCTCTCTTTCCCTTCCATCTGTCACATAAGGTATCACACCCTTACCTGTGAGTGCTCTGCCCAAAGGCATGTAAATTTTGATCTTACAATATCCTGGGGTTTGGGGCTAGGTTTCTTTCTTAAGGACCATGCCTTAAACCCACATTACTGTGGCTGTCATTGATTGGCCAATAGGTCCCAGGCCAAGCCCACTTGGTCATTGTTTGGGCCCTGAATGGCTCAGAGTGAATGTAAATAGTAAATGTTTCTATTTTGGCCAGAAACCCTGAGGATCTTCCCCTCCCAGATGGATTTTTATTTTAACTAGGTAAAAAAGACCTTTCTCGGCCTCATTTCTTACCTAGCCTTAATTACTGGTTGGGTGTTGTTTCGGTCAAACTGAGACTTGTTAAAGACCTCAACTTAAAAAGGCCAAGGTCTCCTACTGCATCTCCAGTCATCCTGATCTATATCTTGCCACTATATCCAGATGGATCCGGAGGAGAAAGTGAGGCTGGTGACTTTGCACAGCCCTCCCTCACTTAAATCCAATTCACTTGCATGTCATGGCATCATCTCCCTGAGGTCATGGTCCTCTTTGAGAATGAAAAACAAACATCAGCAACAGTGATGACTAACACACAATGCTTAATAAATACTTGATTTATTGATTAGTAATGATAGCATAATTCTTCACAAAGTTTCAATAACAGGCACTTAATTCTAGAAAACTCCTTTGTTCTCATATATTGTTCAGATTTAGGCAGCTAATAAGTGCGTCTATCCTTTCTGAATCTGTACACATTCCCTTTTAGGATATCATGTGACTTACATACTTGACAGCAACTGCAGAACTAACATTTGTAGTTGTCAATTTCAGACCAGCATCTTCCAGTGGATCTAATGCTTTGATCATATTCTTATAACATCTTCTCAAAGACTTATCCAAATAGACCAACATCTTCCACTACGACATGTTTCCAACTACCCATTCTGTAAACTGCTGAAAAATGGCAAGTGACAATGAGATTCCTGAGGTAGAGATGGAAGTGGTAAATGCTTAAATTGGTAGATTCCTGCTGGGAAGATAATGGCTGCCTTCTCCTTGTTTTCTTCTGTCATAGTATTCTGATAGTATACTCCTCATGGGTCCAGCATTAAAAATGACTGACTATACAGCAAATAGGCCCGGGCATTCTTAATTCACGTCACAGTAAAAAGGTTTGTGTTAGTTGTCATGTTCAAAGTCTACCAAACTACATGCATTTAGATCTTCCCACTCTTCTCCCGTATCACCACTGTGCGCAATGCATATAAAGTTGAGGAACTCTGTGAAATGATGCTATTGGATAATAGTTCCTTCAGGAAGAGGAAGGAATAAATACACTTTAAATCACTAATGCTATGCAGCCTAGTCATCCCCTAGTCTGTCCAAGGCCTGAAAGAACAAATAATGCCTAAAATACTCCCTGTTACACTCCCTATAGCAGCTATTCCAAACCTTTGCCTTTCTCATTAAGCACTCAGTTTCCCTTCTGAACTCTCTCAGTGGATGACATGGGTGCCCACATTACTCAGAATGAGATCATCCATCAGGAGCTTCTTCACCCCCACTTCTTCTACAACTCTAATTCTTTTTAATATCTCTGCCCCTCTTCTCCCCTTTTCCTCTAGTTTCAGAGTATGAAGTGGCCATTCTCCTGAATGAACTTTCTTCTTTTCTTTTTAACATCATCCTTTCCCATCTCCTCCTGGAACTTGTTTCATCCTCATTTATCACTTTGCTCCTCCAATTTTCACTCTCTTCCTGTTACTGACTCCTTACAAGTAGACTCAGACCTTTCCTATTCTTAAGACAATCTTCTCTTAACAATGCCATCCCCTCAATCTATAATCCTACATCTCACTTCCATTTTACTGCTAAATTTCTACAAAGAGTAGTCTACAATCTTGGTCTCTACTACCTCAACAACTATTTCCTCTTGAAATCTGGCTTCTGACTCCACCATTATACTGAAACTTCCTTGCATAAAGCAACCAAAATGGCCTTTTCATTGGTTAAATGTGGTGGATTTTCAGAGGCAGCTGGTGATACAGTGGATAGAGTTCCCTGGGCCTGGAATCAGGAAGACCTGAGTTCAAATCCAGCCTCAAACACTTATTAGCTGTGCAGCTCTGGGCAAGTCACTTAACCTCTGTTTGCTTCAAGTTTTCTCAACTGTAAAAATAGAGATAATAGTAGCACCCAGACCCACACCCCTCCACCCCTTGCAGAGTTATTGTGAGGATCAAATGAAATAATATTTGTAAGATGTGCAGGGCACAATGTGTGCTTATTCCCCCCTTTTATTAGTCTTCCTTTTTGATAATGTTTCTGTAGTAATCTACATTGTTGACCTCCTCCTTCTCCTCAGAGGCTTCTTTGACAATATTTTCTCCCACTTCTCCTCCTACTTGACTATTTTTCTCCATTTCCTTGTCTACATCATCACTTTTCTTCCCACCTCCTAAGTGTGAGGGTCACCCAAGCCTCTATCCTACATTCTTTTTTTTGTACCATCTAACTCTTGATATTCTTATTCACTCCATGGGTTCATTATCACCTCTCATCAGATGACTCCTTAATCTACACTGGAGTTCTAATCTTTCTTCTGTACTACTGTGACACATCTTCATTTGAACTCCAGAATCTTATACTCAAAATTGAATTAAACATCCCCATTCCTTCCCTTCCTGCTGCCTTTTTCTTTCTCCCTATAAAGAGTATTTCCATCCTTCCAGACATCCAGACTTGAAACCTCAGAGAATCTTTGACTTTTTCTTCTTCTACTCCATTCCACCATTCATATGGTGACTGCAATTCAAGCCCTCTTCACCTTTTACTTAAGCTTGCCTCCTCCCAGGTACTACATCTCCACTCTCTCTTCTCCAATCTATTCTTCATGAAGCTGCTAAAATAGCTTTCCTAAGGCATGGATCTGACCTTGTCACTTGGGCACTCAAAAACCTTAAGAGCAAATAAAATTCCTTAGGCTGTGTTTAAAGACCAAGGTCATATAGCTTGTATGCATCAGAGGTGAGGCTTGAACTCAAGTCTTCTTGATTTAAACGCCGGTTTTTTGTCCTCTACAGCAGGCTGTCTCTCACAGACATCGTAGGACTTAATAAATGTTTGTAGAATTAAATTGAATTTATTTTCCCCTAGAATCTTTGACAGTGGAGAGGAGATGGCATCTGACAGAGTGTATGATAAAGGCACTGGTGAACAAAACTCCTTGCAGTATAGTGGAAGCAAGTAGGTTAGAAAATGTTCTCTGTCCACTCACATTGGTTCCACAGTGAACACGTAAGTATTCTCAAGGTTCTTCCTAGTGGCTATGCTATTTTTCTTCAGTTAAATGGCCAATTTTGGTCTTAAAAGAAAATTATCTTTATAGAATGACCTTGATCCCAAATCACTGTGTAAAAAAATTATAATGGGATTTTGCTATGTTACATATGGTTATCTCAAACACTCACAATCCTTCTGTTATTTCATTACGCTCCCTCTGTAACCTCTCCAGTATGGAACCACAAAACCGTGGTCAAAGATTGCCCTTTGTGTGTTTTCTTTGCTTTCATGTACAGCCCAGAGATCCCCAGGATAGTACAGTGTATTTTGATTAATAACAATTGTGACATGTCCAAAAAAATGAGGCAAACTTTTGAATACTGTCATGAGTTTTTAAAGGCCATTTTTCTGTCATCGGGCTAAGTGACTGGATCATTGCTGATACTGTCTGTGGGGCACTCAGGTTCTTACAGTTTCCTTGATCAGTTGCAGTTGCCACAGGATACATTCTTAGAGAAAAATCTCAGTGCACAGGTATGGCCACATCTGCACCTGCCTCCTGGATTTCAAAATCTCTGTATGTTTAAAGGATCTGATCAGAAATAAAAGGATAAAGGAAATTGTTGGCCTCTCAGTAGACAGCAGGAGAATGGTAGGGTGGGCAGGGGGAGTTGATGATAAAACTCCCAGAAGACAAAGACCTTTAATGTTATATTTTTGTTAATTCCACAGTCATTCCACAAGAACTGTATAAGAATCCAAGGGACAGAAGCAGCAACAAAGTTGGGAAATAGGAAAATAAGCCAATTCGAGGAAAGATCACTTACATAAGTCAGCTAAATGCGTTCAGACCGAGAGATCAGGCTAACTTGCGTCCCAAGAATGAAAATCACTGACCCAAGTTACTGTAGTAATAGCCAACCCCACACTCTGAATGCTCTCCTCCTTCATCTCCGCCTCTTGGAATCCCTGACTCCTTCATTCAAGGCTCAGCTCAACCTGGGAAGACTTACATGAACTGCTGCAAAGTGAAATGAACAGAACCAAGATATTATTGTACATAGTAACAGCAATATATTGCAACAATAATCAAGTGTGAAAGATCTGACTACTCTCATCAATACAATGGTCCATGTTAGTCCCAAAGGACTCACGATAAAAAAAAAAATAATACTATCCACTTCTAGAGAAAATTGATGATTTCTGAGGGCAGATTAGAGCATTTTTTTCACTTTCTTTATATTTCTTGTTTTTTATCTTTTTTTCTTTTTTGCAACGTGGCTAATACAGAAATATATTTTGCATGACCTCACATGTATAACTGATTTATTGCTTGCCTTCACCAAGGGTAGGAGAGTGGGAGGGAGAGAGAGTATTTGGAACTCAACATTTTTTAAAAAGTGAATGTTAAAATAAATTCAAATTAAAAAAAAGGCTGTTCTCAGATACCACATCCTTCATTAGACCTTTCTTTTAACACCTCCCCCTTCCAGTGCTTAATATTCTCCTCACCCTCAAATTACTTTGTATTGACAACACACGAGAGGCATAATTCCCCACCCCGACCCTCCATCACACAAGTACCCAAACTCTGTAATACCTCAGTCTCTGGGGAAGGGAAGGGGTGTAGGTTCATAGGCTAGCTTGGTTTCTATAGAGCACAATCGAGGTTCCAAGTTCAAAACTCCTTCAGGTTTGAGCCCCAGGCACCCTGGCTTCTTCCTGCTTCCATGCCAGGCTAGCTGATAATGCCTTTCTGCATGCAATCCTGGCTCTTCTTGCACCTGAAACTGAGAAGGGCAAAACACAATGAGCAGGAACAAACTCCCCTAGGCACATTTCTTGGAGGCAGGTTAAAAGAGCAAGAGCAGAAAAAGGAAGTCCTTCCCTTCTCACACTTTCAGTTCATGGTGCCTGAGCTGTGTGTGGAAGGGAAGAAGAAAGGAGAGCGTAGGAAGAAAGAGGAGCAGAAAAGCAACAGAAAGAGCTGAGCGTAGTCTGTTGTTGATTTTAAAAATAAGTGATCACTGTAACCCCACAGGAATGGTCCAAAACAGGACTTGAATTTAGGACTTCTGATTCTAGAGACAGTGTGCCTTTACCACCATACTACACTGTCTCACATTGCATTACCACGACAATTGACTCAGTAAAATGGGGGAGAAAATTGATTGCATCTTAGTACTCCTCACTTCTTCCCCACGGTTCTCATACTGCAGGTATAGGACCTGCCGTGGATGTACCATCTGTTTCTACCCTCCCTTGACTATACCTTATGTTCCAGAATTTTCTCCATTCTTGTGCCTTTTACCACAACATATCCGACCTATGTCTTATTCTCTCATGACTATTTTAGGTAATCTGATCAATTAAGTCATATTAGGTGTAAATAGCTGATATTGGACTGAGTGATAATATCCTAGGAGAGATATAATGTAACGTAAAGGGCACTTGATTTGGGAGTCAAGAGAGCTGGAGATTTTGCCTCCATCCTTTCCTCCCTCCCTTTGTTCCTTCCTTCCTCCTATCTTTCCTTCTCCTTTCCTTCCTTCCCTCCTTCCCTCTATCCATCCTTCCTTCCCTTTCTTTCTTCCTCTGCTTTTCCCCATCCTCCACCCTCCCCTCCTTCCCTCCCTTCCATCCCTTTTTCCTTCCATCCATGCTTCCCTCCCTCCTTTCTTTCCTTTCCTCTTTCCTTCCCCCTGCCCCAGCCCTTTCTTCCCTCCTTTCCCCTTCCTTGCTCCCTTCCTTCTTCTCTCCCTCCTTTCCTTCCTTTCCTTTTCCTCTCCCTCCCTCCCTTCCTTCCTTCTTTCTTAAATGTCTATTGAATACTTAGCATGAGACTAAAATTAGCCAGAATCATTTAGGTTTCAAACAAAGAAAAATATTTTTGGCCAAGTTTTGAAATACTGGTACAGGTTAGTCAAAAATTGTGGGTCTTTTTCTTTGGAGAGGATAAATGCACATTGGCTCAGATGTTTGAAGTGTGATTATTACTGAGGCTGAGGAGCTGGCCTGGGTGTCCATTAAAGGCCACTTCTGGCCTTGAGATCCTGCAATTTTGTGCTACACTTGGACTCCTGTTCTGGCTGTTGAGCTCGTGGTTTTACAGCTCATTTCTTTATAGTGCCAAAAGTTCAAACAGCAGGTGTGTGTTGTGGGGAGGGAAGGAGAGAGAGAGAGAGAGAGAGAGAGAGAGAGAGAGAGAGAGAGAGAGAGAGAAGAGAGAGAGGAGGAGAGAGAGAGAGAGGAAGGAGGAAAGGGAAGGAGAGGGAAGGAAGAGAGAGAGAGGAGAGAAGGAGAGAGAAGGAGAAAGAGAGGGAGAGAGAGATAGAAACACATGGGGTGGAGAGAGAGAGAGAGAGAGAGAGAGAGAGAGAGAGAGAATTACATTGTTTCTGTTAAAGGACTTTCATTATTTTAAAGACTAATGTTAAACTTTGGATACAAGCAGATCCTTTGAAAATACATATGTCCTCATTGGCCCATAGTCAATTCTCCCCAATTAGTCGTATACTTTAAGTCAGGAATAACTTCTATTTTAAGTAGAGAAAGGAACAATGGATGAAGTAGCCTCATTCATTCTTTAACATCTAAACAAGCCAGCAAAAACCTATGTAGGTGGGGCAGCTAGGCACAGTGGATAGAGCAACAGCTTTGGAGTCAGGAAGGACCTGAGTTCAAATGTGGCCTCAGACACATAACCCTTACGAGCTGTGTGACTCTGGGCAAGTCACTTAACTGCAGTTGCCTCGCCCAAAACAACATCAAAAACCTATGTATGTCAGTACCACGCAGGAACTACTCTCTACAGACATCTCCTAGTAGACTGTACCAAAGATTCCAAGTATACTGAAGAGTAGGAATTGCTTTTATGTTATTTTATAGAAAATGGTATTTTCAAAGGAAAGATTTGGTAATTATTCAATTAATTTCTGTCATTGGAACTGAGGGTCATTATATTGACTGTAGGCATTACAGTTTGGTTTTCTTAGACTTCAAAACATCAATGGATTTGTGATTTGACCAATTTCAGAACTCCCTCCACTGCATAGATACCTCTCCTCATCCTGGAAGATTCTTGCCCATGTCTTCCTGTAGATCCTCCTCAGGCGGTACACCCAATGTGCTGGGGTAAGGGGAGAGTTTTCTCCAGATTATCTGTCATTTCCTGAGTATTGACACAATCCTCATTCAAGCTATCCATCTGCTTTCTCACACTCTTACTAGATAACCAGTGTCACACTCTTGGATAATAATTTGTTTCAGCCTGTTTATGCCACCATCTGTCTCTCAGTTGCTCTTTGAGGGACTCACAATTTTGTTGGGGGTGGGGGTGAGGAGGGGTGGTTCTTCCTCTGATGGCTTTCCTACTCCTGATGTTTAATTTCACAGAATCTTAGAGTTAGAAGGGACCTTAGAGGCCATCTAATCCAACCCCAACAAGAATTCTCTTAAAACATCCCAGGTAAAGGGTGATCCGGTCTTTGCTTGAAGATCTCCAGGGAGGATGAACCTTCCTTTTTTAAATTTTTAATTTTTTTTTTTTTGGTGAGGCAATCCAGGTTAAGTGACTTGCCCAGAGGCTAAAACTTCCAATTCCAGAAGAAACCTGTTCCACTTTTGCAGAGGATCTTAAAATGGATTTAAAAAAACCACCCAGAACAATACATCTATTTATCTTTGTCTAAAATTTTGAATAGGATAGAACTGTAGAATGAGCTGTGCATTGTCAGAGGTGGTCAATGTGTCAGTTTGTTTTGCATAATTGCTCTTCTTAGTTACAAGAGTGTCCTTTTGTAAGGAGGGCATTGGGAAGCGTCAATGATATTTGAAGAACGATAAAAAAAAAAGTAGAATGGCATAATAATAGCATTTATTTAACACTTTAAGGTTTTCAAAGCATTTTACATATGTCACTTCATTTGATCCTCACAACAATTCCTTGAGGAAGGTTAAGTGGTTTGCCCGGCTCACACAGATAATAGGTGGCTAAGGCAGGATTAAAACTGAAGTCTATCCTGATTCTAAGTCTGCTGCTCTACCAACTGCATTACTTAGCTGCCCCTAAACATAAGCAAATAAATAAAACCATGGGCTACTGTTTGTTTTACAAGCCATATGCTCAGACTTATTCATGGCTTTCATGCTCTTGAACAAGAGAGATTTCCAGCTCTCTGGGGTGTGTAATAGAAGACCTGGGTTTAAATCTTTCTCTAACATTTATTGCTTGAGTAACTTGCAACAAGTCATTAACTTTCCTAGGCCTCAGTTTCCCCATCTGTTAAAGACGAGGCTTGCACTAGATAGTCTAGGAGGTCTTTTCCAGTTCCACATCTATGAATGACCAAGAACCTCTGGGCTGAGGTGAAGCTCCCTCATGTGCCTTACCTATAACTAGTGTAAGGAACCAGGCCAATCACTCAACAACCATAAGTAGGTTTTAGAAAAAAAATGTAAGGCTGTTTATACTCTATAATCCCATTATTAGGGGTGAGCTTCTCTTTAATTGGGTAAAGAAAGGAACAAGAGGGTTGGCTAACCAAATGAATTAACCATACCCATCAGGACTTTGAAAAGCTGGAGAAATATCAGCAGATGCCGTCAAAACATGAACCAGTCTAGTGCTGGAGGACTTCAAGTTCTGGAGCTGAGGATTACAATTCCAGAGTGGGATTGAAACCTGTGAGCAAGAATTATTCTTGAGGGGATGGAGTAGGAGGAAGAGAGAATGATCACATAACTGTAGTCAACGGACCAGGAGGACACTGCTCCCAAAGAAATACTGCAGAGACAGGAGTGTGTTCCCTTATATCAGAGAAGAATGCTGGCTATGGAAGGAAATGCTTGCCAGTAACCAAGAATATGCATGTACCCTTTGGCAATATGTGTTCTCTATGGCCTCACTATCATTTTACTCTAAATTTAAGTTCTATGGTTAACTTCCTATGGGTGTTGTGTGTATTTGTGGGAGAATGTATCCTGACCT